TTGATTTGGGTCTAACTTTAGTCCCAAGTCACTCCACACAGCATTAATGTGGCCCACACATATAGACCCTGGCCTATTCCCATTTATTGCACAAATTTACTGCACAGTAAGTTACTAAACCAGCATATATGCATGTGTAGACTGTGTAGCTGCAGTGTTGTCTCTCACCTGAGTTGAGCTAGATCAAGTGACGTAACCCAAACAAAAGTGCAGGGAAAACACCCCTAAGGGCATAGCTACAAAAGCAAGTTATGCTGAACTAAACTAGGGTGTGAACTCAGGGTGTTGGCACATACACAAATTACCATGAGGTAACATGGAGGTCACACCCTGGTTTACCTATTCCAGAGGTCACTGCCCATAAACATGCTTTTACCCAGCAGTAAATGCAAGGTGAGGCACCCAGTTGACACCCTTCCAGAGTAGGAGCTGCTTGGCAGTAGCTGCCCATATGCACACTCTTACTCTGCAGTGAGCAGCGGCTGCCTGTTCGGGGAAAAAAGGAAGGAAAAGCTACCTCATTTTTGTCATGGGGAAAGATCGTTCAGAAAAGCACTTACCACAGAGCAGTTGCAGGGCAGCCTGTGCTACCAAGTACATGCCTCTTCATCCCTTTATTTACCAAAAAGGGCTTTAGTTTCATATCACTCCTTTTTCTAGTAATATGTACATACTAGATATTTTTCTTAGTCTTTCCCAGCATTGCTACCATTTAAAACATTAAAGAAAATACCTGGCTTCAAAAGAAGATTGAGGCTGTGGGTATGGCTACCCCAACAAGTTAGCCTGGGAAGAGACAGCCAGCCTGCATGTAGTGCAGCATGACCCTGCAGATGTGTGGCATCACAGACTGGGGAGGGCCCAGGCAGTAGAAAGCAGAACAGCCAATGGGCAGGGAGTGCAAATCAGGAAACAAAAAACAAAGCAGCAGATAGGGCAGGGAGCTGAAAGCAGAGCAGATGCAGGAAAGGGATCAGTGGCAGTTTCAGGGGGCATGGGGCAGGGATAGGCAACCCCTGGCATGAGTGCCAGTGTGGCATAGGAAGACATTAGGCTTGGGCAGATGGCGGGGTAGGGGCCAGGTCTGTGCTGCCACAATGAGGACCAGACCCCTCATGGCTCCCATGCCACCCACCCCTGGCGCACCAACATCTTACAAGTCAAAGTTGCAGGTGTATTTGGCACTCTGCCCAACAATGCTGCCTACTCCTGGTGTGGGGCTAATTTGTGGCGTACTTGACAAAATGGTTAGGCCCCCACTGAACTGGGGGATGAATTTATAGCATATTAGCTACTCCATGGTAACCATCTGTGTGCACACTCTTAGCCTGAAGAAAATGCAAGGTACCTTACCTCACTTTTACTGAGGGGTGAGAGCTACCTTGCATTTATTGCAAACTAAGAGCATTCACATGAGAAGTTGCCATGGAGACTGGCTAATGCACTGTGAATTCAGCATTAGCTTACCTGGATACAACTTGTAACCATACCCTGAAAGTCCTATTTGCACCCAAGGTGAAACAGTAGCTGCAAGAGGTGCAAACAGCCCAACTGACCTCAAATAAAATAGTTAATTACAATGCTTTGGCAATCCTGGAATGATGTTGCAGCCGTGATGGTCAAGGAATCATGCAAGAAACAAAAGGATGTTTGTGGGTGATATCTTTAATTGGACCAACTGCATGACTGGGGTAAAGTTAGATCAGCTTTCAAATGCAAGGTTGTGGGTTGTTTTTTTTAAATCAGGTGTGCAGGAAGAAGCAGGCACAGCTATGATTAAAAACAGCGTGTAGGGCTGTGAAATTGGAGGACAGATTCCCAGGGGTAGCAGACAAACAATTACCAGAAAAAAGAAGCTTGGATTAACAGGAGATCAAGATCTATCAAAAAGGGAGGCGGCTCATTATCACGTTTAGTGATGAGGAAGGATTTGGGGAATTGGGTAGATCACAGTATGCCATAGTGTTCTGTCCTTGGTTCTTAGCATCTAGCCAGCTTATCACAGTTCCCCGTGCAGCCATGCTGGAATGACCCAGCTGGGGCCTGTTCACACACAGCTGCACCAGGCTCCAGCTCAATTCAGCTATGTGGGAATGGGGTGCTATCCTGCTGGGGGGGG